AGTTAATGTATGTTAATATAGGACTACGTTATTATGTGAGTGTTTTGGTTTTTGACTTGAGAGTTTATGAATCAGAACTCTCGGTGGTTCCCTTATATCAGCCGACTTCCCCAGCTTTCAGATATGCACAGCACGGTGAGGTTTTCACTCTACTCCTTATAGTGGTCAGTTTTGGCCAATTACTTACAATAATGGTTTCCTTGTTCTCTCTATAGATCTTTTGGGATGAAGATGAGTTCAACATGATTCGTTGCAGCGCAGTTCACAAGGAAACTGTAAATCAAAAAGCTCGGATAGAAAAGGAATTCTCAGTTGTAGCACAAGTAAGTATGTTTCCTTTAGTGATCCTGATAACTGTTGGTTTCTAGTGGCAAATTCGATCTTCCTTGCATTAATCAATCATTTGAACCATTATTCAGTCTTTTGAACATTATCTTCTAGAGAGAGGGTCTTCTTTTTCACACCTCTATTTATATAACATTGTGCTTCTTTATCTTGTCACTGGATTAGTATATTATCTTCCTCTCTAAGTAATGAAAATATTGCTTTGTTTAGGTTCCTGGTACATCAGATCCATTAGACTTAGAAACCAAGTTCAGGTGCTATATCGTCTAAGTATACATTGCTGAGAAGCATGCTATGGTACTAGCAAATAGTTGACTCATTTGTTTTTATTTTGAACTAATTTCTCGAAGTCTAAGTTCCAATTCATCACGTGTGTTCTTAGAAAGGTATATATTTTGGTAATTGGTAGTGAATAAGATGTATTTGCATGTGTAGATTTGTTTTTCTCATTCTAGTGAGTAAGAGTACTAAAATTACTTTTGGTGATTCTTAGGCATATAAGGAACATCTTCCCAATGCCATTGAACGCCCAGCTCTGGAGAATTTCATGTATGCATATGCATTAGGTGAGATAAATGTTCTAACCATTGAACAGATTCCGTTTCCAGACTTCATGAATATGCATACATGAAACTCTAATGCCGTAATGTATGCATATTCATGAATAGTCGGCCCTCAAAAGGAAGGTTCTAATTTTGTGTTACTACTACACACATTCTTTTGTTGTTCAGACTGTTCCGTTACTAAATCTAGATAACTTTTGCTGGACAGTGGGATCTCGTGCGTGGGAAACTTCGAAAGGCATATCACTGGTACGGTATTCAGTATGGTTCTGCGTTTTTTTTCTACTTACTTGTATAGATAGATGTTCTGACCATCTAACAGATTCCGTTTGCAGACTTCGTAAACCATGATGGGCTTTCTGCATCAATCGTTTTGAGCGATGAAGACAACCAACTATCAGAGGTTTACTTCCATTTCTGTTAGTTAATATTCTGACTTCTCTTCTTCTTCCTGTGTCTGCGCACACCTACTTGCTATTCTCTGTTACCTCTATATCTCATTTGATACATTAGGAGACTCTTTAAAGTTAAAATTTTGATCTAGTTAGATACATTGTTCTTGAATCAGTAGGCTTTGCAACTAGTGCATGATTTTAAGTTTTCAACTTTGCAGGTCACTGCAGATCGTGACTACAGTCCTGGTGACGAGGTATGATTATAGCACAATGATATTTGATTTTCATAGGATTCATTACTCTTTCTGTTATTTTGGTGACTGGTTAAAATCAAAGGCTTTGAATCTTTTTATACATAACTGTGTAGGTCTTCATTAGGTATGGAGAATTCTCAAATGCTACACTCATGTTGGATTTTGGATTCACACTTCCTTACAACACTCATGACGAGGTTTGCTTTCTCTATCATGACCGTATCTGTAGCAATTCTGTAGATGTCCACTAACCAACCTTGAACTTGATGATCATTTGCTTGATTGACTAGGTTCAAATCCTAATGGACGTACCTAATGAAGACCCTCTCCGCAACATGAAGCTGAGACTTCTCCAAACCCATCACACACGAAGTGTCAAAGATATCAATATCTTTCACTCTTCTTATGATACTTTCACAATCAAGTAGGTATTAATGTTTTCAGTAACTGATCTTGTTGCATATGTGATAAGTGTATCTAAGTCTAGTTCTGGTTCTGGTTCTCTCTCAGGGAAGTGAAATCAGCTACAGGGAAAGGGAAAGGAATTCCTCAGTCTCTCCGAGCATTTGCGCGTCTTCTTTGTTGTACCACTTCTCAAGGTGCTCAGATCAAACTTGTTTCTCTCTGTTTAGGCTGATCTTGAAAGTATTAACAGTATAGTGATTCTCAGAGCTAAATGATTTGTCAAAAGAAGCTGAGCAAAATGATGGCCGGCTAGCTCGGCTTCCCTTTAAAGACAGGAGCAGAGAGTTGGAGGCACATAATATCATCTTGTCTCATATCAACAGATTAATTGAGGATCATAATGTTTGCATTAAGGTACCTTAGAAACTTGACTCAGCTAATTGTCACATGATGAATGGAATGTAGGTTTTGCTAAAGGTTTATTGAGTGCTTTTGCAGGAACTAGAAGCATCGGATTACCGTTTTGAATCACAAAGGTTTACTGTTAGAAGGCAGATTGCAAGAGATCTCCTCTTCGGCGAGCTTCGTGTTCTGAAATCTGCAGCTGAATGGCTTAATCATTACTGCACAAACTTGTTTTCAGCACCTTAAATGAGTCTCAAGTGACTATGGAGTCGATTTTACAATCTCCACAGTAGCAATTGTACCAAAAGTTGAGATACTGGTGTGTATATAAGTAGTCAAGTTTACTTTCTTGCTTAGTCAGAATGTGAAAAGAAAAGGATGAAAACAAGTTGGATATGAAAACAAGTTGGATCTGGAGGATGGTAACCAAGTATATGTTTAGATCATGAGAATGCAAACACAATCAATATATAGCCCCCTATGGTTTTTGTTGCTAGAGTTTGAATCAAGAGAGCTATCTCTATAAACAACAATATCGATACACTAATTATATCTTTAAAGTGAGATACCAAAAACAGAGCAAAAACTTTCTTCCACTACATGTGTTCACAACTAGAGAGACCAATCTAGTCCATCAGATATTTCTTATATGTTGATTAATCATTACTAAACTAGTTCAATCTTTTTTCATTTGTTTTTGTTTGCTAAGAAACTAGTAATAAAATTAAGGTTGTTAGAGCATTTCAAACGTTCAAACTCGTATAGTTCATACGAAAATGATTTAAACTTTATTAAAAGGTAAGGATGATTCATGGCATTTGGAACATGAACATCATTCTACTCCTACTTAATTATTTGCCAATCAGACTAGATCAACTCTGATTTTTCTAACAAAGTAAAATATAGTTTAAGTCTGTCACATCCTTTTGCGTCATTTCAGTTCTAGTATCACCAAATAAATTCATAAGAAGATTCGTTGATGAAGAAGAAGAAGAATGGGGAAAGTTGTGGTTTTTGTTGTGACAAAACAGAAGCAAGGCGGCTCTGTTCTGGCTCACGAAGCATGTCTTCTTGTAATAGCTGAAACTTGTTTACCAAGGAACCTTCGAGATTTTGGATCTTGATGGTAACCAAATGTAGTTGAAGCAAAACAGATCTTGGATAAATATAATACTATATTTTAGGACTGCATAACTATTAAGAATGTTACTTTGGGTCTTTTCTAATTTGATTGATAGATAGTTTTATACATTTTAGATAGAAGATTCAACCATTATAGGAAGCCCAATGAACTCCATACTTTTGAAGCTAGGCTATACGACCCCTCAAGATCAACAGTTTTTTAAGTACAACGATAAAAGCCATAGTATGATGATAGTTAAGGGGTCAAAAGAGAAGTATATGTTTAGATCATTAGGATGCAACCAGAATCTATAACTCCCTATGATTCTGCTGCTTGACTTTGAGTCAAAAGATCTATTATTCTAGAGAAAACTATACCGAGAGACCAAGTATATCTATACGAACATGGAAGATTTTTCTGAGCATGCCTTGCTGGTTGGATGAAAATAAAATCCGATTTGTGTAACAAAGGGAGTAATGAGATTAGTCAAAACATTTATCACAGAAAAAATGGAACTTGAGTGAAGAAGAATGAATATGTTGGTTTTAGCGAGTGAACGAACAATTAGTCAATTGACACATTTATTATGATTTTCTTTTATGTGGTGCTAAACTGTTTTTTCTACCTCGGTTGTGCAAATAATGAATATATCTGACAGTATACAGGTGTTCAATCAAATTTTGATTTTTCCGATCCGGTTCTGCATCAGCTAATTTTTTAGTTTATTTATTAGAAGTAGTCTGGGTTGAATTTGGATTTAGTTTCTGGTACAATACATTCTAGAAGTTTTTTTTTTTATTGTAAAATTAGGTGAGATAACCATACAAAAAAAACCCTATATTCACTAACTAACTAAAATCCTTCTTTCTATTTTATCTCTCCCCTCTCTCCCTCTACCCTCTCACTAGAAAACTAATTTTCCTTATTTTTTGGCTATTTGACATATAAACCTTTTTATTTTTGTTAAATTAAATTTCAGCTTTGAAATTTATATTTTTGGGTACATGAAATTGATTATATTGTAGGATGACTTTTCTAGTTATTAATAAAAAAAACTAAACTGGATAAGAATAGTGACCAGATCCTAGCAAATATATATAGAATAATGGAAAAAGGATCTTTTGAAGAAACAAAAAAAGTTTGTATAAAACTGTGTTTATATTTTTTTTAAATATACAATGTTTTGAATGTATCCTAAAAGTGACAAGATCCTTAGTCTTCCATACAACTTATAATTTGTATAAAACTGTGTTTTCTTAAAAAATAATTACAAGAATTTTAATAAAACTTTTAAACAATATATTATAAATATTGGTAGTACTAGAAAAAAAGTCAAATGTTGTGTTAAATGCGGGAACAAAATTAAAAAAGTTAGTAGTATAATAAAAAAAGAGTAAAATAAAAAGTCAAACCGTTAAAAGTCAAAAAGAAAAGGCGAGAGACAGGTCAGAAAATAAAAATAAAAAATATATATATATACCAAACAACAAAACAGCATAAACACGACGGCCGCAAGTATCGCTTCCTTCCTTCTCTCCTTCTCTCTCTAAAAACCAAATCCAACGTCTCCGTTTCTTCAAACGCGTCTTCTCTCTTCCTATTTTTAACCCTTTTCTTGATTGAAATCTCTATTCTTTTCTTCTCTTTTTACCTCTCATCTCATCTTTGTAAATCGAATGATGGATTATTATTCAAGTTTCTGAGTAACACAAAAAAAAAAATCTCTTTCTTTCAATCTTCCTTAGATTTTTCATCAGGTAAATTGATAAAGTTTCAATCTTTTTCGATTTATTATTGAAATCTACAGATTCTTTAATTTTTTTAATGATTTGTGGAATGCAGATTAATGTTGTGTACGTTTGTGAATACGTGTCTGAATCCTGAAACCTGTGGAGTTGAAAACGACAAGAAGATTGGGTCTGTTAATATAGTTATAAGCACTGATTTAATGAACGATTTGATAGCTGGTTCTTTTGGTTAGAGAAAGAGAGATATAATAATAATAATAATAATATGATGGTATCTACAACGTTTAGGAGAATTGTGTCCCCTTGTTGGAGACCTTTTGGTATTGGAGAAGGTTCTATTACAAGTAGTAGTGATGATTCCAACGGCCGTCTCGACGGTTTATTATGGTATAAAGACTCCGGTAACCATTTAACCGGAGAGTTTTCTATGGCTGTGGTTCAAGCCAACAATCTTCTTGAAGACCATAGCCAGTTAGAGTCTGGTCCCATTAGTTTCAACGAGTCTGCCCCCGAAGCTACTTTTGTCGGTGTGTATGATGGTCATGGAGGTCCTGAGGCAGCTAGGTTTGTTAACGAGAGGTTGTTTTACAACATGAGGAGATGTGTTTCTGACCAGAGAGGTGTCTCTCCTGATGTCATCACAAGAGCTTTTGTGGCGACAGAGGAGGAGTTTCTCGGTTTGGTCCGGGAGAAATGGCAAGTGAAGCCGCAGATAGCTTCTGTTGGAGCTTGTTGCCTTGTGGGTATTGTCTGCAACGGGCTGTTGTATATTGCAAACGCTGGTGATTCGAGAGTCGTGTTGGGGAGGCTAGAGAGTCCGTTTAAAGAGATGAAAGCTATTCAGCTATCTACAGAGCATAACGCTAGTATTGAGTCTGTGAGAGAAGAGTTGCGTTTGTTGCATCCTAATGACCCTAACATTGTGATGTTGAAACATAAAGTGTGGCGTGTGAAAGGGATCATACAGGTGTCGAGATCTATAGGTGACGCGTACTTGAAGAGAGCAGAGTTTAACCAAGAACCGTTGTTGCCTAAGTTTAGAGTTTCAGAACGTTTTGAGAGGCCCATCATGAGAGCTGAGCCGACTATAACGGTTCATAAGATTCACCCTGAAGATCATTTTCTTATATTTGCTTCAGATGGTTTGTGGGAGCATTTGAGTAACCAAGAAGCAGTTGATATTGTTAATACTTGTCCACGCAGTGTAAGAAACTCTTCTTTGAATCTTGTTCTTGGTGTCAAGATTTGTTTGTCTATGTTTTGAGTGAATCTATCTTTGTTGTGTGTTGTGATTAGGGTGTGGCTCGGAGGTTAGTGAAAGCTGCATTGCAAGTAGCAGCGAAGAAGAGAGAGATGAGGTATTCGGATTTGGAGAAGATAGAACGTGGCATCAGGAGACACTTTCATGATGATATTACTGTGATTGTCGTTTTTCTCCATTCTGCAAGTTTTGGAGTTCGAACTCCGGTCTCTGTTAGAGGAGGTGGTGTCCTCGCACTCTCCCCAGGCAATGCCATTTTATAAGTTTTTACTTTTTTTTTCTATATTCAAATAATGATAAGCAAAATCTCTTTTTTTTTTTTTATAAATGTTTTGTTTTAATGTTTTGGTTTGTTCAGAATTTCAGATTGTCTGATACTTGTTTAAATTAATTTCTGGAAAAAAAATTGTAATTTATATTTTCCTTTTTACCAAAGTCTGTTTTTGGGTCAAAGTCTATGGTAAAAAAAGTGAAAACAAAACTTGTGAAGATGAACAAGAAGATTGTGGCCAGGTGTGTTTGGATCCAGATATTCAAACCGGATTCGATTAGAGTATTGAATTGAACTCAATGCAATTTAGATATTCCAATGGAATTTAAATTTTATAATTTAATAATTGAATACAAACTGAACCGGATGTAATGAAGACTTGAAAAACATTAAAATCTAAAAATATTTCGGTTATATCTAAAATTATATTAATATTTACAATTATACAAATACTTACATTATGTTGTTATAAAAAAAAATATAAATACTTACATTTGTAATAATTAATTTAAACTTATTCAGACTTAACTTTAAAAAAAAAATATTTGAACCCGATTCAAATTAACTAAAATGATAAATAATCTAAGTTTTTTTGAACCAAAATATCCAATACCCGGAATATCCGACCGAACCGGATCCGATGTCTGGATACCCAGCCAAGTCAACTTTTTTTTCATTTTTTTTTCCTCAGCCAAGTCTACTTGTGGCAGTCAGATAAAGAGTTCATCAGGGGACAGGAGAAGTAAAAAAGTCCTGATCGGAGCCGAGAAAACGAACGGAAAGAATGGTGAGTATGAGTCTTGGAGTGAGAGTTAGCGTCTGTTCATATCCATCGGTTGCGCTATCCTCGAGGGATGTTTCTTTCCCTTCCTCGTCATCTCTCTACTTTGGTCGGAAAATTCACCAATCAAGGTTCAGTATTGAACTGAAGTTGCGGTGTAATTCAAACGGAACACGCAGAGCCAAGGCTGTTATAAAGTCTAGGTAATCAAAAAACATGTGTTTCATTGTCTGAGAAGCTTTTGACTGAAAACAAAATGTGTAACTGAGATTCGAGGTTTGTGCTTTGCAGTCGTGTTCCGGAGCTTGATTCCTCTTCAGAGCCACTTCAAGTGTTCGATGGCTCGACAAGGTTTAGTTTTTAAGTTGCTTTTGTCTCGTTTCTTGGAAAGAGAGAGAGAGAGAGGTTGTTTGATGATATGTTTTGGGTTTATTTGATTTGAAAGGTTGTATATATCTTACATGTGCCCATTTGCGCAACGTGCGTGGATTGCTCGGAACTACAAGGTTACTTTTATCGCTGATTCTATGTTAAGATACGAAGCTAGTTCGATCTAGAGCAATTGTTACTTTTGTTGTGCAGGGTCTGCAAGACAAGATAGAACTTGTACCGATTGATCTCAAGAACAGGCCTGCTTGGTACAAGGAGAAAGTGTACACCGCTAACAAGGTGAAAGCTTTTTTTCTTGTTGCTTCATGATCTACTTTGAGCGTTATCTTGTTCTATGTTTTTTTTATGACAGGTGCCTGCATTAGAGCACAATAACCAAGTGATAGGAGAGAGCCTTGACCTGATTAAGTACATTGACACCAATTTTGAAGGGCCTTCACTTGCACCCAATGTGAGTATCCATGAGTCCTTTATTTTGTAGAGCGATATCTTTTACTTATGAAGAGATAAAATAATATGTGGAATAACAATAGAGTGTAGAGAAGGAAGCATTCGCTCATGAGTTAATCTCTTACACCGACTCTTTCTCCAAGGCCGTAAGATCCACATTATCAGGTGACGACAGTGATGCAGCAGGTAATTACAAGATACTATGTTTCCTTGTGTGTTTGCACTTTGCAGAAAACATTATTTTACATGTGTACGATGAATCTTGTGTTGCATATTCTTCAGATGCTGCATTTGATTACATTGAGCAGGCTCTTTCCAAATACAAAGAAGGGCCTTTCTTCCTTGGCCTATTTAGTTTGGTATTTGTCAATAATCTTCTTCAGTTTCTTCTACTCATATCACAGCTACTAGATGCTGAGTCTAAAACGGTGAAAGATTTATGCACACAGGTTGACATTGCATATATTCCATTCATTGAGAGGTTCCATCTTATCTTTAAGGATGTAATGAATGTGGACATCACTTCTGGTCGGCCTAACCTCGCTCTTTGGATTGAGGTTACTCCTTTTTATTCAGTTTTTTGTATCTATCTTTCATATTAAGACCAAATCTTCCTCATCTAATCTCTGGTTCTTCGCCTTGTGTAGGAGATGAACAGGATTGAAGCTTACACAGAAACCCGTCAAGATCCACAAGACATAGTTGAAAGATACAAGAAACGAGCCGCAGAAGCACGTACCTAAGCAGATGAGATATTGTAACTAAAGATTTGCTTTATGTATCATTTATGTTGTATCCGGCTAAGAATGTAAAAGCATCTACATGACCAAGCAAGTCTACAACTTGTTTTTCATAATTCTCAAGAGTTCATGAGACCAAGCAAGTCTCCAAACTAAAATGAAACTGAAGCTGCTTGCTTTCTCTATTTACATTGCCCAAAAGTTCGTGCTTTCTGCTCACGTGATTCAGAGCTATTATACAAAACCAAGTAAAGATCCCAGTGCTAAAGTTGAAAACAGAACTAAAGCATCATAAGACTCTTATAGTGTTTCCGTTTTATATCAAGATAGAGAGAGAGATTGGCCAGAAGTTAAAAAATGACGCTGGGCAAGTCTTCCATTTATATGTGTATATACGGAATGCAAAAAGCCATAGAAAGAAAATCTGGCTACTTCTTTAGAAGTACTCTCATAATCTGTCTCATATAAACAACTAAAGACCATATAGAGAGCCCTGCAGATACATAGAGCAACCCAATACCAGACGGTAATAGCCTCTCAAAACTGCTATCCCTGCTTGCGAGCAGTATGGTTAACGCTATCATCTGCGTTGCAGTCTTCCACTTCCCCAAGCTATTTACAGCAACAGCCTAACAACATTACCAATGCCATCTACATGAGTAAGTACCAAAAGGAGCTCTTAGTTAGCTAAATGCATATGAATATGATCACTTTTACCTTGGAAAGCTTGCCGTTTTGAGACGCAGCCCATTCTCTTACTGCGGACATAGTAATCTAGAGTGAAGAACCAAGAGCTGATAAGTACAACTTACTTCAATGATATTCAAGAAAACAGTAAACTTTCTATTTCTTACCTCTCTACCAATGATGGCAATGGAAGGTACTGTCACTAACCATGGAACTGGTCCAAAGACAATGGCGTCCATAGGTTTCGTGCACAGCAAAATCAATGTTGCAGCTACCATAAGCTGCATACACATAACAAAAATCAAATCATTCTACTACAACAAGGCATAAAATGAAGAGGCTTTCTCACCTTATCTGCCACAGGGTCCAAGAAAGCACCAAACGCAGACCCTAATCTCATCTGAAAATGCACAACATATCACCGTTAAGCTCACGATTTTCAAGTGCCGTAATAAGAATCCACACATATTACATGTACTGAACTACCTTCCTAGCAAGATATCCGTCAAGCCAATCTGTAATCGCAGCAGCAATGAAAAGACTCGTTGTAGCAGTCCTCCCCCACCAACAATCAACATAAAACGCTACATAATACCGCATCATCACAAGAACAAAATCAGATTATCAAACATATACGAATTAACAAACAAAGTACCATATCAAAGGCTACATAACAACAACAAAGGAACACATTATCATCTGAAGATCCAATTCAGATAACCTAATTATACACACATGAAAATTCAAAGATTACTATGTCAGCAGAGGACCTAATCATATCAAAGTATCATAGCAAAGGCTACATAACAACAAAGGACTTAATCATCACAAGATCAAATTCAGATTATCAATCAAACATATACGAATTAACAAGCAAAGTACCATAGCAAAGGCTTCATAACAACAAAGGAACACATCATCAGAATATCCAATTCAGATAACCTAATCATACATACATGGAAAAATTCAAAGATACCTAATCAACACACAGCAAAAGATGCATAACAACAAAGGAACGCATCATCAAACGGTATAACTATCACATCAATGTATATGTACTGAACAATGTTATCGCCTGAGATCTGAAACCAAAAGAGAACGAAACGTTACTCGCGACAAGGATCGGGACGGCAGCTACACGGCCAAGGGTTAACACGGTGGGCAATGTAAGCACTCTAGAAGATAGACTTGGCAATGTCGACGAATCATCGACACCGTAACCGTCACAGTTTCTCTGATCCACCGTCGCGGCGTCCTCTTCTTCACCCATATCCGCCGCAATTTCCTGATCTGTAGAATTCGACGATCCACAAGAGAAGCAAACGTAAAGGACGGTGGCGACACCTCCCTCGAATCCGGAACCCTACGCCTTTATGGAAACAAACAACGGCCAATGATAATTCAGCGTGTGGAGATGCTAACGTGCGCCAGCGAGGAGATGGGGACGTATCGTGCGCCTTAAAATTGATGTATCGACCATTGTTATTGAAGCAAATGGCAAAAAAAGTTTTTTTTTCTTTTGCGTAATTAGGGAATGGGAGTAGTTTGGGCCTTTTGTTTATGTGTCGACAACTTTGCAATCTGCCGACTATCTAAATTTTTGTTGAGTATATTATGTGGGTGACGTGACGTTATGATTTAGAAATGTTTAGTCTAAGTTTCTCATGGTACCTTTTTTACTAATAATAGATATTTTTTGGGACGATATTAATTCCTTGTGCAACAGAAAATCATGAAAATTTCGATTAATTCTAGTTAGAAAATTGAATTCGACTTTGCTTAACCCGGAAATTATTCTTGACATTGCTTGATATCAACTTTGTAATGCAACCGGCCCAATGTAAAAAAAATGTTGTATATGTGAGATGACGTTATTCATATGGAAATGATTTATGACAAGTCTCATTAATAATCACAAACTAAAATGTTGTTAAGAAAAGCATGAGATGTTAACCTTTATCATATTTTATACATGAAACTTTGAAAATCCATTTGATACTTAACCAAACGTAGTTAATATAGAGAATATACTTTGAACATATGATAGTGTTTTTTTAATCAACTAGTGGTAGCCGACTCATAAAAACTTTGGGGCATGTAAATTTATCTGTTTTGGGTTTGTTAGTTCACTAATAAACAATATGGATATTCCTTAATATTAGTTAAAAAGCATTTCAAATTCGGATTAAACATTATGGTAACAAGTTAACCTATATATCCCTTCCTCCTGAAATCTGAATCAGCCCATAAGACATTAAAAGTGAATTGTTTTTCGATTTGATTAAACGTAACATGTGAAGCGCATTTTTGAAGGATGAATTTATACAAAATCTAAGACAAACTTTTCCCTGTACTACTTTACCAACTCCAAAAGCAATTGTCCTTTACCGACAAGTCGACAACCATTACTACCCCATCCCAATTATTATCTTGCATTATTTTCTTTTAGATTTAGCTGAGAATCAGGCTAGAACTAATGAAATATTCAATGTCTTAAATAAAAAAATATTGGCTTTTTTTGTTGTAGGATGCACATATTTTATAATCAATAAAAATATCTAATGGCACAAGTCTAAAATGAAGAAAATAGTGGTTCTCTCAAAAATAGTACTCTATTTTTTTTTTTTTTATAACTTCATATTTTATTAAAAATATAAATGTTGTACATAATCTTCGTGAAGAAGATTTGTTATCGTATGGGGAACATAATTATGATAAGCAAAAGAAACATTAGTAGAACATGTTCTAGCAAGCTTATCTGCCACCTTGTTGAGATTTCTTGGCACCCAAGCAACCTTTATTTCTTCAAACTTTCTACACCACCATTTGATTTCTCTAACCCAATTGAAACCAGCAAAATACAAATCCTTCCCATCAATGATTCTTACAGCCTTCAAACAATCAGTTTCAATTATTAGCTTACGGTATCCTCTGCTCCAACAATGCTGGACAGCCATTAAAATCCCCTGCAGTTCACATTCCAATACATTCTCAGCTCTTATACCAGCAACTTGAACAGCACCTTGATATACTCCTTTTTCATCACGAATGACCCAGCCACAATTACCCACTCTACATGTCTTAATAAAAGACCCATCAACATTGCATTTTAAGAAATCCAACGGAGGAGTTTGCCAACAACTTTGGTTTTGTGATATGCTTCGTGTTAGATGCTTTACCATAGGCTCTGGACCATAGTAACCTCCATCTTTCCATTCTCTAGCGTCATTCCTTGCATAAGTCAGTAATAATCTTTCATTCATATGTTGTTGCTGAAAAATTAACTTGTTCCTACTCTTCCAAATTCTCCATAAAATCCATATTGGTAAGTCTTTAAAATGTTGCAATCTCACCGACGAACTGATGAATAGACATGCTTGAAGCTTTTCCTCTAAACTGGCCGAAGTATCATCAAAGGCTCGATGAGCAATACCTGATAACCTCCATACTTTTTTAGCATAAATACAATCAAAAAAGAGATGTACTTCAGTTTCTTCAGCTTGAAAACAACGCTTGCAGACAGAATTCCTTGTAACATGACGTCTCTTTAGATTATTTCCAGTGGGGAGACTGTGAGAAAGTAATCTCCACAGAAAATGTTGAAGTTTAGTAGGTAACTTTGCCTCCCATACTTTCTTTTTTAACATGTTATCTCCATCCGTAACTGGTACAATATTGCCATCAGGAAGATGTGTCGCTAACCAGTAGCCTGATTTGACAGTATACAAACCATCATCATTGTAATGCCATCCCATTAGATCCTCCTTTGCTATAGAACTTACTCTAATTTCCACAATCCGATCGTAGTCTTCAGGAACAACTGCACTCCGTAGTTTTTCCAAATCCCAACCCGTTTTTGTCTCATTAAAATAAGCATTAACCTTCTCCAATCCATTTGCTTCCTGAAGTGGTATCGGCGCTCGAGGAGGGTGCAGAGGTAACCATTGATCAGTCCACATATTAGTAAATGACCCATCTCCTACTAAATGTCGTATACCCTTAATAACCAACTCCTTTCCAAATAAAATAGATTTCCATGCATATGAAGCTTTTCTTTTCACTGTTGCCTTAAGTATATCACCATCTGGAAAATACCTAGCTCTTAGGATACGCGCCATTAAACATTGAGGGTTGTGTAGAATTCTCCATACTTGCTTGCCAAGTAAAGCTTGGTTGAAAGCTTCCAAGTCTCTAAATCCTAAACCCCCTTCCTTTTTTGGTAGACAAATTCTTTCCCAAGCAAACCAGTGCATACCTCTGTTTTCACCATTACCCCACCAAAATCTCGCAAAGATACCATTTATTTCATCACATACTTCCTTAGGGAGTTTGAAAATATTCATAGAGTATACAGGCATTGCCATTGCCACCGCCTTGAGTAATATTTCCTTACCCCCATGAGATAAGTGATTTTGTTTCCAACCTTGAGTAGCTTTCTTAACCTTGTCGATGATGTACGCAAACATCTCACTCTTCTTTGATCCAAACTGCTCTGGCAGACCCAAATACTTCCCAACTCCTCCATCATTAAAGATCCCCAGCAGATGTCTCATTCGAGTTTTTGTAGCTTGCTGAACCTTACTACCAAAAGCAATAGAAGACCTATTATAGTTAATAGCTTGCCCAGATGCTTTTTCGTACATTTGAAAAATGTATTTCAATTTCTTTGCAGCCCTTTCATTTGCTAAAGTAAAAAACAGAGAATCATCTGCAAAAAGCAAATGATTCACTGCAGGTGCCTGTAGAGCTACTTTGATACCCATCAGAGATCTTGTTTCCATAGCTCTGGACATCATGTTGGAAAGAACCTCTGCACAAAGTATAAACAAATAGGGGGAGAGAGGGTCTCCTTGCCTGAGCCCCCTTTGTGGTATTATATGACCTTCTGGAGCTCCGTTAATCAACACAGCATAACTAACCGAAGTAATACAAGCCATTATCCAACCTATCCACTGATCATCAAAACCCATCTGTTTCATGGTTTCTTGTAGAAAACTCCATTCCATGCGGTCATAAGCTTTAGTAATATCCGTTTTAACAGCCATGTAAGACGTAGCTTGTCTCTTACGGACCTTCAAACTATGAAAGATCTCATGTGCAACAACAATATTGTCTGAGATGAGACGTCCAGGTATGAAGGCATTCTGATTCTCAGATATAAGTTGTGGGAGGTGTTTTTTCAAACGGTTGACAAGGACCTTTGAAATGATTTTATACGAAACATTGCATAGCGCAATGGGTCGAAAATCTTTCATACTTGTAGGAGGATATATCTTTGGTATAAGACACAAGTTAGTGTGGTTGTGTTGTTGATCAAAAACCCCTGACGCAAAGAACCGTTGTACTTCATACAGCAGATCTTCTTTTACATCATCCCAAAATGTTTGATAAAACACTGCAGAGAACCCATCTGGTCTAGGAGCCCGATGTGGTCCCATATCAAACAAAGCTTCTTTGATTTCCTGCTCAGATACATCTCTTGTAAGATCGTTGTTCATATCAGTCGTTACCTTCTTCTTAAAACCATCAAACACCTCAGGAAATAAACTCGGGTTTATAGATTCTGAGGCGTATAACTTTCCAAAGTAAGTCGTAGCAACTTCTGCAACCTCATCATGACCATGTCTATTGGTACCACTCTCATCTTGGATAGAAGTGATAGTATTACGGATTCTTTTTGCTCTTGTAATAGCATGAAAATAGCTTGTATTACGATCCCCTTATCTTAACCATTGAATTCTGCTCTTTTGTTTCCAAAAGATTTCCTCCTCCAAATATGCTTCGTTTAACTCTTCTCTAATGTTTTGTTTCTCCTCAAGAGTTATATTTGGTGTCACCGTAGCCTTATCAAGCCGATGTCTCAGTATTCTGATTTTCTCTTCGGCATTATTTCTGTTGGTACGTTTCCATTTAGATATCTGTTGTCTGCATCGAGTAATTCTCTGTAGTAGTGGCACTCTTATTAACTGAGCTTGTCCCATACCCGACCATCCTCGTCTAACAGAATTTTGAAAACCATCCTTGTTGATCATTCTACTATCAAACCGGAAAGTCCTTCGTGGTTCTTCTCTTTGTGAACGAAAATAACACACTAAAGGCCTATGATCTGATTCTCCGATCTCCAAAAATTCAGTTTGTGATGCTGGGTAATCTCCAAACCAAGCACTATTCGCCATAGTTCTGTCTAAACAGCATTTAACTAAATGTTGACCTCTTTGTCCCACCCAAGAGAACCGGTCACCAATGGAAGGAAGATCAACTAAGTCACTA